GGGGGGGGGGGGGGCGCAACTAGCGAAGCAAGCGATAGAAGGACTTAGCAAAAGCAGAGACATGGAATTTCAACCAAATAAGGAGGTGCACTCTCCTCTTGTGGAGAAATATCTCGTGCACCGGACAGAGCATGGAAGTGGTGGTGAAGGGCGCGAGTGGCTACCTCAGCACGTTGACACCCCCCGCCCTGCGCTGAGACACTGCGCTGGGAAACCGCAGGTGTCCGACCAAAGCGCGTGTTTTACCTTACTTTGACCTAGGTTGGTCCCCAAGCACCTGCGACCCGCAGCTGTTGGCGACCGGCAGAGCTAAAATATCCCCTTCTTCACGGTAACACTGGCAAGTTGTCTTCAACACATTCAGAATATTCCCTGTGCCGTGGTGGCGACAGAATAACTCTACCCGTGGAGCACGAAGGAGACAAATTGTTCCAGGGTAGCCCGCACTCAAGCTTGTCGAAAGGGACACCATTGCATCGGAATTTTCGCGTCTCGTTAGATGTTGCAAGTGTTTGCGCACACATATCTAAAGGAGTCAGCGTACGAGCAAGCGGGCATTTTTTCCTGAAATAGTCTACACTATTTATTCGTATTGTTTTGGACATGCACAATATTTTTTTGCTCACCTAACGGCAGGTATCATGGACTTTATTTGAGAACGAGAATGGCAGCAGTATGATGGAGAGAGGTGAAATCGTTCAGACACTGGCGTGAGTATCACAGTTTGTTTCTGCGCGGCCTTACCGCGGATCAAACATTGCCCCCCCCAAGAATGTGCCACGATTAATAGGAGGACCGGGCTGGATAGAGATCGGATTGGTGGACCGTACGCAAGGTGCACTCGTTTATGGGCGAGGCCTTTGAAAGGGAAAATCACACATTTACATTCAGATACGGTAAATAATTGAAAACTAAACGTCCTAGGAACGTACGCCGAACCTTTGAGCGCAGTAGAACATCGGACGCCTGAGAGCATGTTGGCCGGCGCCGACGAAACTTCCCGTCCGATCCACACCCCACCCCAGGAAAACCACCAACAAATGAAAATAAAGAACAATAACTTCAATCGTTGAATCGAACAAACAAAGCGCACCTTCACATTGGGAGGAGTTAACTCAATTCACTTCGGCACGGTAAAAACGCCAAGATTTGTACACCTCGTGCATTTTGTTCAACAAGATGTAGGCAACGACAGCCCAAGATGTTTCGGGAAGTAAAACACATTCAGCAAAGCACATACGCCAAGACGATCGAATCAACTCATTTCGAGGCACAACACAGCTACCTTAAACGTTCCACAAACCTCTTTTGTCAAATATGCGACGCTCTTTTGGCGTCGTTTTCCTTCTATTCGCAACAGGAGCACAGGTCAACTATATTCTTGCTAGTGCATCCGTGACTACCAGGACGATACAGCAGAGCGCACCCCACAGGAAAGCGGCACTCGAAGCGCGCGAAAGAGCTGCAAACGTTCCTATTGCCCCGCTGGTGTCGCCTGAGTCGGGACCAAGGTCATCATTTTCCTCGTCAGCAGACTGTGATCCGTCATCATCTTCAGACGGTGATGAGTCGTAGTCATTATCAGCCCACGTGTCATCATCAGCCCGCGCGTCGTCGTCATCAGCCCACGCGTCGTCATAAGCAGATTCGTCGTTATCAGCAAATTCATCGTCATCAGCTGATGTTGTCGATTCATCGTCGTCAGCCGGCGACAGTGATGTTGCCGTCACCAGATCGTCATCGGGGCTGGTGGTAGAGCTGCTGCTTCCCCCGCACGGAGAGTCAGACAGATCGCAGCCGCTGACCTCGACAACACTACACCGAAAGTAGTCCACGGTGACCGTGTCGTCGAGGCAGTCCTCGCCACTGGCGTCGAAGCTGCAGCAGTACAGGGCAGTCGCAGCCTCGCAACCATCATCGTCCTCAGCGGCCAAGACCGGATAGCGGTCCTCGCAGTACTCGGAGCTGTCCTCGAACTGCGCGACGCAGTCCCAGCAGAGCGTTGATTCGTAACACGCCGCCGTCTCGTCTGGGCACAGCTCACTGGAGGAAGGCAGGCTAGTCGACGCACTCGCGAGATGTGGTCGCAGGGTGTCGGCGACAAGGAGGAGGAGGGGGAGCGCGAAACGGAGAGGGGTTGCTCTCGTATTCTTGATCTCCGGACAAGTTGGAGCAGCAGCGACGCCCCCGCCCGTGGTGGTGGAGTCTATCTTTTTTTTCTTGTTTCTCGTCACAAGAACCTACAGAAAACGCCGAACACGAGAGTACGAGAGAGAGAAAGAGAGAGGAATTACCTTCTTTTCATTTCTTCATACACATGCTTGATAAGGAGCTTCGACAAATAGATTTGATACCGCTTCGACTAATAGACGGTTTGTTGGTCTGACATATGTATCATACATCAATGTACAAAACATAAGCACTGTAAACCAAAAGAGCCGTTTGCTGTTGGTATAGATTTGATTATTTCATCGTGTTTGCGAACGAGCGCAAGGACATACATGCTGGGACGAGAAGAGCGGAAATATGTAGTGAGATACTGTCATGTCGATGTGCTCAGGAGGATCATGTTGGTGTGCGTGAAACACAACCATGTTGTTTGCTCGCTGGATTGTTTTTCACCAATTACCGCCGATCACCTTCTTATACGTGGGACTATCAATGTTGCCGTCGTACGTTTCTTCCCGTGCGGCATATTTGTCAATTAGTGAGGGGTCTCTGTTGTAACGTGTTCTCAACACGCCGGGGGCGCATTTCCATTAACCCCTCGCCTTTTGTCCCCACGGATATGCGCCGCCTCTTTCTCGGCATCGCCATAAATGTTACCGCCCAATGTAAGCTCCCCTCGGCCCGCATCCGTCTTTCCAACATCCCGTAGTCTAGGGCTTGGTCGCTTATGGGGCTAACTTATGATTCCAATGCTGTTCGCCTGTTTTAGCTCGCGAAAATGGCATGGCCGTCTCCACCTTTGGACTCCTCGACAAGGGGGGTGCCGGGGTGCGCGGGGAACGTCGTAGTCTAGTGTCGGTGCTTTGCAGAGGGCAGGAGGAAAGAGGGGAATGGTACGGAGAGTCGCGGGACGATATCGCAGGTTGCGACACGATTATCTGTACTTGGGTGGAAAGGGCTACTAGGGGCAAGCGAGGAAGAAGCACCTCGCCAACTGATGAAAGCAGGCACTGGGCAACCTAGAGATGGGACTTCGAGGTCTCGGATCTCTTTAATTAGATGAGTCCCTTGAAAACCTCCTTTTCGTGCGCCGTGTACCCACGCTCCTGCGAGTTGTCTAGGTAATCGCGGGGGCATTGGTAGGGCTTTCAGATAAGAGACAGGTCAGGTCGGGAGACAGCCATGCAGCTGCACCCAGGGCTGGAACTGTCCGCATCATCCAATCAGGAGGCGCATTTTTTCGTTTTTTACGTTTCAGGAATTTCGCAAGGACGCCGAATGTTCTGTGCATCCTAAGGGGTTACAAGGGGGTGCTGAAGATCGATCTTGATTTTTGCTTAGAACAATGGCCGAAAGACCGACAGAGCACCCGCTGAGCACACACGAGATGAACTATAACCAGTTGATATTGTTGCGAACGAAAAAAAACACTTACTCATCGTACAGAGCAGCGTTTGGGTCTGGTTTCTACCGGCATACCGCAGACGACACAACATAACACACACCTCGGACCGATTTTCAAAGCTTGACCACCGTAAGGTTGCGAGTCAGCGCACCCCCGTGCGGTCGTTTTTTAAAAAATTTCGCGATTCAATTTTCATCGCACAGGGGTGCGATGACTCCGGACTGTGCGATGACTCCACACCCTGTGTGGAAATCGAATGAAATCATTTGGGTTTGACACATAACGCACACCAACTTTCAACGCACACCCCTGTGCGATAACTCCAGTAGTGCGGTACTTGAAAGACAAAGCTTTGCAAGCGCACGGACACCTCAGTTGTGCTCCGGTTGCAGGCTCCACACGCAACGTACACACAAACGCGCACGCCAGCCAACCACAGCAATTAGCCCCGTGGCCCTCAAAACGGTCAAAATGTGCTTCAAGGTGTGCGGCCTCACGCTTGCTTGCGCTCGACGGTAGCGAGGACAACGCGTGGTGCACCCAAAACTTCGGTGAAGGCTACCGTGAGGTTCTACTCAAGCAGCGCGCCGAGCACAACACCCCGGCGTGACTCTCTCGCCGCTCCAGCTACCCGAGGTGTCATCTGCATCTGGCGCCAACCCGATCGCATCTGCAGAGCAGGAGGTCGCGGCGAAGTTGCAGCCTCCCGAGGGGGACAGTGGCCATGAAGTGGAGATCATACGACAGCGGTGTAGAGCTGTTGGATGGGCCATGGGTTGGGGCTGCGGGGGGGGGGGGGGGGGGGGG